CAAGTCCAAAGACATGTGGTATAGGTGAATTGAGTAAGCTAAAATTGGCTGTAGTGTATGTGTGAATGAGAGTGTATAAGTGTTCCCCAGTGATTGAAAAAAGAAAATGAATGGGTCAAACAAAGACCAACTCAACACTTGTTTGGTAAATGTTTAATTTAAATGTAATCCCCTTTATCCCAGTGGTTAGGTTTGTTCAAATTTGACCCAAAATAGTGTTAAAACCACTTGAATTAGCAGGATGCTGGCTTGTTTCAACCCATATTTGACCTAAATTTGGACAAAAACAACATTCCTATGCAAGGATTTGGGTAGAAATATGAGTTTTAGCCCCCTGTATACATTAACTGTGGAAAGAATACAAGATGTTGATGTATTGTTAACAGTTAAATTAATTTTTTTTTTCAAAATGCTTCTCTGTTTTAACCCAATGTTGGGTAAACTATGGACAAATCAGATTTGTCTATTTTACTTAAATTTGAGGTAAATTAACCCAAAATCTTCTCAAGTAAACACATGTTTTCCAATGAGACTATGTTATTTTTCTCATCTGGCTTATGTGAGCTAGTATTAGGATGGGCTCTAACCCAGAACAATGGGTAATACCACTAAGAGGATTAGTTAAGTTAATACTAACACAATTCAGGAAATAATAGTGTTAGAGGCTAGGTCAAACCTAAAAACATGTGTAGACAGTGCAGCAGGCAATCACACAACAATCCATCATTTCACACAGCCACATTCTCTCATGACAGATAGACAGATGAGGATGTTTATGACTTGGAATCATTGGAAAGATCTGCACTAAAGCAGTTAAAAACTATTGTTCAGTGCATCACATAAACACATCACATAAGCTTATATACAGTACAGTTGTGCAGTCAGCTCAGCTTTTTTTTCAATGAAACGTAATCCCCAAATGGGTTAACCGATGTCACATAGGGAACAAAACAGCAAACGTTTCCACATGGATACACTGTGCACATGTTACATTCTTTGTTGATATTCTGTTTTAGTTGCACTGACTTTTTAGATGCATCTTAGAAAAAAAGAATGCAAGAAAATACTCTATTTTTTACAAGTGATTAAAATTCAAGCGCCTCTGTCAGGTTTAAACCCAATCTTAAATTAAACCAACCTGTTTTAAGTGCTTTTTATGCTTCATCAACATTTAGAGTAGTGTTCAGTTATTAATATGTCACTTGTGTAGTTTCCATGGCTCAGTGATTCCCCTTTCGTGGTATAAATTTAAATGTGATTATTAAAGGATGGCCAGGTTTTAAAGTGTGTATGTTTTATTTTTTTCGAGTAATATAGTGGTTACATCGCACACATGATTATCTGATGGCCAAGAAGAAAAAGAGAGAAAATCAAACCCTTGTGCTGACTGTCACCTACAGAATTGAGAGACCATTGATAGACTACAGGAGAGGCAATGCAGGGCAGTTTGGTCTGTAACAGGGGAAATAAGCTTGTCTAATTTGATCAAACTTTAATTTAGGCTTCTCTTGCGTTGTGAATGTTCTATAGCCATGAGGCACCGCAAGACCATTTCTGCTCTAATGCACTTACTACAGGGGATAATTTCATGTGTCTCGCAATCTGAATACATTTTCGCTACATAAAGCACAATGATTTACAGCATCTTTTACTATAAAAAAAGGTTTCACTTTTTTCACTATTTAGCTGTTGCTTTTTAAATATGACATTTCTGTGTATCATTTTATACGGAGACCCGGAAGGTACGGTACGGAGACCCGGAAGGGACGTGATGGTGGGGAAAAAAAAAATTGGTGGAAGAAAAAAAATTGTTGGAAGAAAAAAAAAAAAACTGGGTGGGAGAAAAAAAACAGAGTGATAGGAAAACATATTTTTACGTTTTTTTTGCGTTCCCTCGCAAAGATGTTTTGCGTTATCTTGCAAAACTGTTTCTCCACAAACACTTCCTGTTCACTTCATTCATGTAAACCCTCACGTTTTTGCCGAAATTCTCCTGTATTTTACCATTCTATCCCACTATCATCCTATCATTAAGTATTATCCCATATTTCTCTCATATTTTTAATCTTGAAAGCACGCTGAAATTAATACTAAAATGTCTGCATTCACTTTCTTTACATTAAAGCTGTGTGTCGATCGTCGCCTTTCATATGCAACCTCTGAACCAGAGGGTGCATGTTTAAACAGACAGACAAATACACTGAATAATAAGTAAACATCTCCGTCCTGCATGTTTTATTTTAAACAGCTAATTTTCTCTTAAATGAGCACAAACAGTTTCTAAAGTAATGGAATGCTTTCATTATAGATCTGTGCATTCTTACAGAGACATCTCTGATATCAAACAAAACAAAACGTGAGATTCCTTTGCTGCTCACTTGTTTGATAACAGAGGTGTCATGTCACTTTAAATGGCGTGTACAGAAGCTGATCTGGGATCAGTTTATTGTACCGAACGCGTCTGTCAATCAGCGCTTACTGTATACATGCATTCACTGGTTCAGAGGTTGCATTTGAAAGGCGACGATCGACGCACAGCTTTAATTTAAAAGAAAGAGGGATAGGATGGCAAAATATGGGAGAATTTCGGCAAAAACGGGAGGGTTTACATGAATGAGGTGAACAGGAAGTGTTTGTGGAGAAACAATTTTGCGAGATAATGCAAAACATCTTTGTGAGATAAAGCAAAACATCTTAGCGAGATAATGCAAATTCTTTCAGAGAGAACGCAAAAATCTTAGAAATATTTTTATTATCACTCAGTTTTTTTTATCCTATCCAGATTTTTTTTTTGTCTTTCACAAATTTTTTCCCCACCATCACATCCCTTTCAGGTCTCCGTACTTCCGGGTCTCCATATTTATTGTATTTTACAACGATGATATTCTTGTCACATCAACTGAAGCAACAGTTACTGCTGTTGAGTCAATTAATGTTTTTTTCTATTCAGTGGATAATTTATTTTTCAAATTTGCAAAATACATATCATCCTGTTTTTAATCATTTTACTTACAAATGACAAACACAAACGTACTGCTTCATTCATTCATACATTTTCTTTTGGCTTAGTCTCTTTATTCATCAGGGGTTGCCACAGCCAACTTATTCAGCATTTGTTTTTCCAGCTGCAACCCAGTACTGGGAAACACCCATTCTTACACCTGTACTGCATGTCTTTGGGGCAAACCGGAGCACCCGGAGATAACCCACATGAACACAGGGATACCAACTGACCCAGCCGGGTCTCGCACCAGCGACCTTCTTCACTGAAAAAAATTATCCGAAGATGATTCCTTGGATTTACTTACTTTTTTAAAGTTAAGTGGTTGTAAACAATTTATTTGTGTTGAATTTAAACAAACAAATTAAGTTGAACATTATTAAACTTAATTTGTTTGTTTAAATTCAACACAAATAAATTGTTTGCAACAGTTCTGCATGCAACACTTTTTTCAGTGTTGCTGTGAGGCGACTGTGCTGTCAACTGCACCACTGTGTCACCCCTCTCACAAGCAACAGATAAACAGGCTTAGTTTTCCATGGTCGTGTCCCGCATACGCAAATTATTTGAATATCAACATTCCTGTTCAACACAAAAATGTTTGTCCAGAAAACTCAGTTAAACATATAGACATAACATTTTAGCGAATATTGTTGACATTACATTTATTTTTATGTAAATCAATAGTTATTTACAATTCTTATTGTCTAATATATGACAGAAATTGTACAGTGTGCTGAACAAATGGTGATTTAATTTTTTTACAGTGCGGAGTTGGGTCAAATATGAACAGGACTAATAGTTGGATTAAAAACTTAATTAAATTGTAATTTAAAAAAGTAACATAATGATTGAGTTTGTTTACCTTTGACCTTATGTTGGGTTAAAGCAGTGGCGACCAATCTGGAGATCTACCTTCCTCTAGATTTCAGTTGCAACCCATATCAGACACACCTGCCTGTAATTATAAAGTGCTGTTCAGTTCCTAATTAGTAGGTTTAGGTGTGTTTGATGAAGGTAGGGGCTAAGGATGTCCAGATCTGATTACAAGATCGGAAATCGGGCCTGATCAAACAGTTTCAGACTCGGATGTTACCTCCCAATCAGGACTCGAATGTATATGTGTGTACATATATATTCTCATCATTTTCAACACATCTATAGTTATGCAGTGGCACAGAGTTAGACCTCTGCAGTCTGGACGTATTTTAAAGTTGATGATGACAACATTGGCATAGCAAAACATGAGAGGTGTAAACTTAGGATTGCAAGAACGACATTTGACACAACAAACAAACAGAGTTGTTGAATTTATTGTCCATTGTTTGTTTGTGTTGTTATATACATTAAGTAATTGTAAAGTGTTAGGCTATTGTAGGGGCAACACGGTGGCTTAGTGGTTAGCACTGTCGGCTCACAGCAAGAAGGTCACTGGTTCGAATAACGGGGGGTCAGTTGACATTTCTGTTTGGAGTTTGCATGTTCTCCCTGTGTTCACGTGGATTTCCTCAGGGTGCTTTGATTTCCCCCACAGTCCAAAGACATGTGCTATAGGTGAATTGAATAAACTAAATAAGCCATATGTGTGTGTGTGATTGTAAGAGTGTATGGATGTTTCCCAGTGCTGGGTTGCAGCTGGAAAAGCATCTGCGGGGTTGGTGGTTCATTCTGCTGTGGTGACCCCTGATGAAAAAAGGGACTAAGCCAAAAGAAAATGAATGTCTAGGCTACTGTAAAAGGTGCATTTACAAAAAACAACTCTGGACTTTATAACAATCCATGTGTACAAATATATAATGTTAATTAATATGAATGTATTCCAGTTGTATCTCCCAGCGCGCCTTCCACTTTATACGATGCTGAAATAATGGAGGATAAATTGCAACAAAGTAATAAAACGATCATGTACCCTTGAAGATCACACAAACACTACAAATCCGTGTGTCTAGCCTAATGATAATGATCGTGTTCTTCTTCTTCTTTTTCTTCGGGATTTCAGATAACGGCCTTTGATGAGCTTCAGGCAGACTTCAAGGTGCCGATCGATCAGGGCAATCCACTTCACGCGGTAAGCCATACAAATAATGAACCCGGATTTATTGCCTTTTCCTGCACTTTCATGGAAAGTAAATGAGTCTGTGTATGTGTGTGTTTAATTGTTAATGGTGGGAATATATTCAAGCAAGTCCTCTGATCTTTTGCCTGTGCCAGGTGTGTTGCCTGCCCCAAACTCTCAAACATTTCCTGCCATCCGCAGCATCGCATGAATAATCCGTAGAGCAGCTGTCTATGTGTTGTCTTTCCTCTGCTGGAGGCTCTGGCAGCTTTAATCTCGCTAATTAATTCAAACGGAGGCAACTTTTCCAGCTTTTTGGACACACCAACTGTTATCCAAAAGTTTACAACAACATTGTTATTCGACATGCCAGAATAATTTCGAGTTGCGAGATGATTTACATGCGAGTGATTCTATAACTGCAGGTACATTTTGGGTCTCCAAGATAAACCTCATAGTAATTTGCAATAGCAAAAACTTGATGATAGTTTTATTGAATAATAGCACAAATAAAATAAACGTATCTCTAAAAATAATGTTTTTATGTGTATTTATCAACATAATCAATAAATATTATACATTTTGTCAGTTTTGTGGCTATTTTATACCAATTCAGTCGTATGAAAATGTTAGATTTTTAAAAGTAGGCAGGTCACCAAACAGTGTTGGGGTAACGCATTATAAGTATCGTGAGTTACGTACAGTAATATTGTTACTTTTTTTAAGTAATGAGTAGGCCCACACGGATTCTGCATGAGCAGAAATTTGCAGATTTTCTTAGATTTTCAGCCCAACATTATGTCTATATATTGACTTGTCCTAATGTGTGAAAATTTATATTTACTTAGTTTTTTAAATACACTTCAGTAATATTACTGACTAATTTGAAAATGTTAATATGATTTATTTACAATACAGTTTGTAAAGTAATATTTTCTGTCTTTTAGCAGATATTATATGAGACTTTCTTTGTTTACTAAATAAGTGAATCTAATTAGATTTGCATTGTAAACATTAAACAAAAGTTAAATCTGTATTATTTTTTATTTCATAAATTACCTTTTTTGCTATGATACTCCCAAAATCATTCTGCTTAAATCTGCAGATTTTTTTTTACAAAATTCTCAGCTGAAATAGTCAAAAATGTGCACAGATTCTTTTTAAAAAATGCAACTTGAGTTACTTTTTAGCTTAGTTAATTCGCTTTTAAAAAACAATTTGTTGAATTAAAACTATTGTAGTCACATTGAATCTCGCTCACAATGAGAAAATGCAGGATCAGACAGAAATGAAGACGTCTGAATCTTATATTTCTGCGACAGAAATATTCTCTTTATTTTGAACACAAAAGAAGATTATCTGAAAGGACAGTGATTTTACTTTATAATAAGACAAAAGTAGCAAATGTGTTGCTTTAAACTTTCATTAATCTGTATATACAGTGCGGCATGTATAGCTCTGGGGTCAGGAAGTTCTCCAAAGATAACATTATCATACATGAACTTTTTTACATGATTGTGTTTTTTTTAAAGGTAAAAGAAGGTTATACAGTGCAGTTGTTATTTGCAGAGCTCCTCTATTAAAAACTTGCTGTCTGTGTGTGTCCTAAAGCCACAGTATTGTGAAGGGAACTATATACTGCTCATTGAGTGCCGTTTTTTGAATGAAATGTTAAATCGAGGTCCTGACTCTCTGTGGTTGTTAAAAATCCCAGGATGTCCTTTCGAAAAGAGTAGGGGTTTAACCCCAGTATCCAGGTCAAATTTACCCACTGGCCTCTATTCATCATGGCCTCCTAACCATCCCCATATCATAATTGACTTCATTACTCTGTCTACTCACCACCAATCAGCAGTGCGGTCTGGTGCTATATAACTGATATTGCGTCATCCAGGTGGATACTGCACACTGGTGGTGGATGAGGAGATTCCCCCAATCTGTAAAGCGATTTGAGTGTCCAGAAAATTGCTACATATTCTAAGGAATTATTACTTATTTTTATAATATGGAGTTTTTTGGGGAGTATTCACTACTTTCTAAAGTAACCAACGCACCCAATTGTCATTGGGGGATGAGCAAATTGTATTAAATTGTATAAAGGAGATACGAATAGGTTTTAGCCACTAAATCAAAACGTTACAAGTTGACATAAGATAACGTTGGTATTTATGGACAATTTGAATTCACAATATTAACTTAAAGACTCCATTAATGCCTATTTTTGACCATCTCTGCCTCCTGAATCTTACATTGAAATTGTTTGAAATTTTTGAAATTAAAAACAATTATTTTTTGTCTACGCCTTCATTCTGGTCAACTCGCATGCAAATTGCTCCAAACAACTTCCACTGACAATCACTGAAAGACATTGAGCCATGTCATTGTTTTTCTCTCATTAATTTGTACAAAATGTTAGGATAAAATTAGTTATTAGTCAACTCTGTTATTGTAATATTTCAGTGAATGTGTCAGTCACTTTTTAAAATAAGTGAGGAAACTACAGGGTGGGCCATTTATATGAATACACCTTAATAAAATGGGAATGTTTGGTGGTATTAACATCCTGTTTGTGGCACATTAGTATATGTGAGGGGGCTTGTAAATAATTCATGAAAGAATAAAGTTACGATTAAAACCAAGCACACCATTGTTTTTCTTGTAAAATTCTCAATAAGTATATTAAGGTGTATCCATATAAATGGCCCACCCTGTACATCTGTTTTAGACATGCCATGTGGTATCTGGTTTGAAGTTAGCATCTGGAGCTAAAGCACAAAATGGTGGAATATGCCTGTTATTGTCAACTTTGCTACTAATTTAAAAGGTTTACCAATAAGTTAAACAGCAATGAGTTTCAGAATCACATGTTCCCTATCACATTTAAGCATTTAACTTTATTTTACATTAGTAATGGGTTTAGTTTACTGTCATTTGTTGTTTTAGTTTAAGGAAAATGATTGGAAAAATGCTTGAAATGTACCCGCAATTCTAGAATGAGTCATGTTCGCGCTTGATACCTTGCCAGGCTAAGTGCTGACAGAAAACAAATCAGGTATTTTTGGTCTTTTGGACTTTTGTGTGTGAAAGTCTCACCGTGACGTGTAGACAAAGTATCCGAGTCACGTATCCGCTCCACACAAAGCTTCCGCAGTCATAATTTATTGCTGTCTTCCCAACAAAGTGTCAAAGTAAGAGATACAAGCTCTGTATGTCACCTAGCCCTCAGTCTGACTGAAGGGAACTATGGAGGATCTGGAAGGTGGGGGTGCTGGAAGATTGATGGGCTCCTAGCTGATCTCACCACCCAGTCAAGTCAATCTCACACCCTGCCTGGCTAATTGGTGGCTTCTGTCAGTCTTCAGCTGGGAGGAAGTCAGGGCTTCATCCTGTGATTCTCATTGGAGATCCCCTTATGACTCCAGTCTGTACAGTGTGTGTTTCTGTGTTCAGTCCTGCAGGCCCTTTTTCACACCTGCCACCAATATGCGTTTTATATCTGGAAAGAAATTTGTTTCTGTCTTTTTTTAGTTCTGAGAGTTGAATATAGTTCACCCAAAAATGAAACTTGTGTCATGATTTACTCTCCCTCAACTGGTTCCAAATATAGGAGTTTCTTTTTTTGGTAAAAAAAAAAAAAAAAAAAAAAAAATATATATATATATATATATATATATATATATATATATATATTTTTTTTTTTTTTTTTTTTTTTTTTTTTTTTTGGATGTTGGAAAGTGGTAGCCATTGACGTGTATAATATGGAGGGTGAGTAAAAGACAATTTTCAATTTTTGTCGAATTTATAGATATAATATTGACCTTATTCTGCAATGCAGAAGTACAATATTGTTAGCTCTTCTATGTGATTGTTTTAGAACTTCCAATTATTTTGCCTATTTCCTAGAAATCACTAGGAATATTAAACAGCAGTAAAAGGTCAAAATACTTGCCCTACAAACAATTGTGTTCATGAATATTCATACAATTAGAAATAATTTATTAAGAAATTACAAGTCAGTCTCATTTGTCAGTATAGCAAGCTGTTTTAACACCTAAAAATGAAAGAGAGCTGAAGAATAAGGTTAATAGTCACAATAATCACACAATTAATACATTGTTTAATGTATTTTGCACTCTATTTTATAAAACAGTTTATAAATAAATGTGGAGACTAAGACCCAATCCCAATTCTACCCCTTAGCCCTTCCCCTTAGTCCTCGTGTTGCGTGTTTACGTGAAGGAGTAGGGGTGTCCCAATTCTCTTTACCTTGGAGGCATAGGGCTGAGGGGAAAGGGCTAGATAGCCCTTTAAACAGAGATTTTTCAGGACCACACTCGAAACCAAGGGGTAGGAAAATTTCCCAGAATACACCAACTACAACAGCAGCATAGCTGCACACAGAAGTAATGAGATGCACAAATCAGTATTTTTTGTCATTATTACAAATTTTTACAACCAACAAGCACGTTTTCATATTTTCACAACCGCGTTTATGTTTTACTTGCTTAGATGCTTAAAAAAACGAAGAAAAAGAAAAAAGCTAAACTTCCTATTAATAAATGCTACACTGTAAAAAAAAAAAAAAAAAAAAAAAAAAATATATATATATATATATATATATATATATATATATATATATATATATATATATATATATATATATATATATATATATATATGTGTGTGTTTACAGAAAATATCTCTAGATTTTTCACAGTAATTTTTTGTCATTTCAAATTATATTCAAGACAGTAAAATGACAAACAATCTCTCCAAATTAACAGTTTGACTTTCATTTTAGATACTTTATCATTAAAGACAAATTACTGACATTTTTGTTTTTTATACAGGGAAATTACAGTATTATTTATACAGTATTTTTTTTTAAATTATATTCAAGTCCGTAAAAATTACAAATAATATCTGTAAATTAACAGCTTGATTGTTATTTTATGTACTATATTATTAATGACAAATTACAGCAATTTTCCTGTTTTATACAAAAAAAATGC